CACACACACACACACACACACAAACACACACACACAATAAGTAGATTACGTTCTTCGTGTTAAAGAAATCAGAACCAATCCAGTGTGAACATGTACACGAGATGACCTAGGTTCATGGCCATACCTTATTTGAAAGAGTGCCTTTTTCATCATCATAATGCTATTGATATTGATCTATATTGTATCAAATAGTTTGAAGCCTTCAATACACGACAAGCATCAGTTCTTGAGTTTGACCCAGTATGACTCGAAATAGGTTCTTTCGTAATTTTTCTTCTTATGAATTGAAAGGTAATTAGTCTTGTATCTAATCAATTAAAATATTTTTTGATGTTATTTTGACAATAAAATGACAGTGTACTAAAAACAGATGTCCGAAGTATACATCCTTTTTTTCCTTAATCAGTGTTTTTCACTTTTTGTCTTTATCATCATAATGTGAGCTTATTTTCTAAAAACTTATTTCCTTTAGTATGAGTGGCAGAAAAAAAAAAGCTTCATGTGAGGGATAGTAAGATCCAGTAGGACACAATCTAAAGCTGGAACTATGAGCCTACGCTTTGTTGTGTTTCTTTTTACGCATTCACAACGCAGAAAGCAGTAATGTCCGAGAGCTTAACTATAGTCATGGATCCTTCAGAAGGAAGGCTGGCAAGAAGTCACAATGACCACTTCAAACGGGGTCCCCGTTTCAACCCCCTCCCTTCCCGAAAACATAACGCGTTAATACTTTTTAGGCACATAATGCTATGGTTCATTATATCCTTTTCGATTACCAAGTTCCCATTTATTTCTTGGTGAACTGATGGAAAAATAGAGTAAAAAGGGTTTTCCAAGGACGCAATTTTCTACCCTACGAAGCAGCGAATCGGACATTAGCTTTTGTAAACTTTTCAAGAGTCAAAATTATGCAGTCAGAATGGTCAAAATAACCCCTGTTTAACGGTCACACAAAGAAGATAATGGAGGGTTTAAAAACTGTCATATCTTTCATCTTGGAGTTTAAGGAAGACAATAGAGTGATGCTCTTAAGATATTAAATTCTAACCGTCAACATTGAGGAGCACTTGATCCCCTTCGGGACGCTCTGTTAAGTGGAAATGGACTTTATTTTAGTAAGTGTTTTACGGCACTTGCAACACAATAAGGTCATGTAAGTGCCAAAGAATAGAGGTGTTTACAAGAAAGTAACTAACACAAAAAAGAAAGAGAGAGATAATGATGAAAGATGTTTGGTAGGAAAATAGGCTTTGACAGACTAGACTAGATCTAAGACAACGAGAGCCTGTATGAATTCAAAACACCAACTTCATGCCAGACTGGACAGACACTCGTTAATGAATCTGCTAAAGAAGAACTTGTAACTAAATTTTTATTGTCAATTCTAAATAGTAAGCCTGGGAAAGATAATGATAAGACACGCATACCAATTTGCCAGCTCCCAGACCAAACGTTAACAAAAATCGAAACAGCAAAAAATCCTCACATGAGCCACAGAGTCGGGAAATACTATTCATCCCCTACCCTTCTATCCACCACGTTCTTCTGTGTCACCACATTGATTCATTTTGGAGAGCTTTATTTGCAACTTTTGTTCTAAGTCTAATTCAGCTCTGAACAGAATCTACTAATTTACTGAGCTAGATGGAAATTTAAAAAAAAGACTCAACCCACGACGAACGATAGAAATACAGAAATAATAGACCGAAAACGTTATTTCTAAGCACAACGATCGTAAGAAAGAAAGACCACATAAAACGTTAGAAAAAAATCAGTCCACACACTTGTAAGACACACTTGTACAACCCTTTGTATGAAATCGCTTCATACACACAGAATTAAAAAGCTCCAAATGGAATCCTGCTGTGAATCGTCCAATAATAACACACCCACGCTTCCAGCTCTGTCTTTATTTGTCACAATTTGTCAACGTAAACGTGGAAGTAAATAACGTCACCATCAAATTCCAGCCGGAGGTTTCTGTCGGTGAGTGCGTGTGCGACAGGACTCCCTCACGAATTCATGACTGTGAGCTGATGGCCTGTGCGCTGGTTTCCCCGCGCAAAGACTAGAGCCAACGTGCGTGCTTGCTTGCGTGTGTGCTTGCGCGCGCGACCGAGGTTGTCCAACTATGCTTCGGGGAACCCAAAGCGACTTTAGTATCGATGTGAGTAACTGCCGGGCGCTCATAATGCATCGCTCCACGTACAGTCGGGGAGCTGTTCTGCATATCATTGTGTGCTTGGCTTTGGTGGCATTGCCTGTGCTAACAGGAATCGATACTAAGCCAATTTAGTTAGAACAACTCGACGTCAAACAAATGTTCACAAAGAGAGAGAGAGAGAGAGAGAGAGAGAGAGAGAGAGAGAGAGAGAGAGAGAGAGAGAGAGAGAGACTTCTGCACTAGCAGAAGGATGGAGAACAAAAAAAAAGGTATGGGGAAGGGGTGGAAGAGGAGGGGACAGGGGGAGGGGGGAGGGGCAATGGTAGAATGAAGAATGTAAAGTTGGGAGGGGGATATGTCAAGAAAACGTTGATGATGAAGAACAATTTTTTTAAAATAATTGGGGCGTGATTTATAATAATTGGGGTGTACAAATTAAGCAGACAACTCTTGGTTTTTGCAGGAGCTGCAGAATCAGAACTGTTGGCAGTCCGGAACGATTCTACTCGATCGTTTCCCATCAATCTGATTGTTCTGGGCCAAGTCAAATTGATGGAGCATGATTCTGACATCCTCCCTCCCCCTCAAATTAATTTTTTGAAAAAAGGATAAAGAGTTGGAAGGGGTGGAGGGCAATTTACTCCACAACATCGTCTCCCACATTAGAACTGATGTCAAGAATATAGGCCTAATATATCTACACTATTGTCTGTGTTTTGTGTGTGTGTATGTGTGTGTGTATGTGTGTGTGTGTGTGTGTGTGTGTGTGTTTGTGTGTGCGAGTGTGTTCATGCGCGCGCGCGCGCGCGCGTGTGTGTGTGTGTGTGTGTGTTGGGTGTGGGGTGTAGGGTTCCTTTAGCATTGGGCTGTTTTCCACTTTCTCCAAACGAGTGTTCGAAGGACTAGACTGTGCAACTTATTCAATGATGCATAATTATTGTGGCCCAAGTACTCAAGGGACATTGCCCAGCAGAGGCCTGATTCTTTTCTGACAGATTTCTGTTACATAAATATTTGAAAGCCCGTCTTCCATCCGTTCCCACCCAGCCCCGCACCACCAGCTCCGACAGAGCTGAACAGTGCAGCCAGCATTAGATTGAGCTTGTCCAATACGAGAGTATCGCTGCTTGAGCTTAAAATCTTCAACTTCGGTGTTTTTACGCCCCAATTGGCACAATTTATATCATTTCGAAAGAGGGCATTCGACCAAGTTTGTCAGGGCCAGCCCGGGCTGAGAGGGATAGAAATCTCAGCAGAAAGAACGAGATACTCGATAAAAAAGATTTTACTCACTCGGGAATCGACCCTGTGTCTCCTGCGTGCGACAGCGAAGCACCTAATCTCTACTTCACAGACACCAGTGCTGTTTGAGGTTTTTGATAAGAAATTGCTTGTCCGACCACAACCACGTACCTCCGGGGTCACCATCTCCCTGTGAAATCACATGTGGCTTGCTGCACAAAAAATATTTCAACTCATTGTAACAGTGGGG